AAGTGGGACTGCATATGACTGCCCCGATAGCATCATGAGCACAAATCATCATGAACGTGAAATAAAAAGGATGTCTCAGGGAGCCTTGAGCTTTCCTGGTTCAATGGGTTTAAAAGTGGATTGGACAAATTCTGGAAGAAGGTTATCAATGGCTACTAGCCATGATGGCTATTCTCTGCCACCCCAGTCAGAGACAGCAGTGCTTCAGAATACCAGTTGCTGTAAGCCACAGGAAGGGAGAGTCCTCTTGTAACTGGATCCTACTTGCAGGTTTCCCACAGGCTTCTATGAGAACAGGAAGTTGAACTAGATGAGCCATTGGCCTGATCTAGCAGGCTCTTCTTTTGCTCCTATGTACAACCTCTTAGACTTGACAAAAGAGTGTTGAAGGCCCTGAAGTGTTCTGGCAATGCGTCTCCAGGGGAGCTAAAGAGGCTAAAGAGATGACTCATCCAGATTCTCTTCCCTTCTTTCACTATGTGGGTCAAAATGTGTGTGTATATATAAGTGTGGGTGTGCATGTATACCAGCATGTGTGAGAGAGTATGCACTTTTGTAAGGAAACAAAAGACAGGCTGCAGTTTACACACGACTGGGAGAGACACAGAGAGATGAGTGTAAGCTCTGTAAGCATCTTAGGGTGTTGGGTGACTCACTAGAGATCTGATGTGAGAGCAATGGACTGTGGCAGGCTATTGTAGTGTTGAAACTGTGCCTTCACTTATGCTCAACCTGTGTGTTTGCAAATAAGCACAGATTTTGCAAAATACAAATCAGCACCCCACACACCCAGTGACTTCCTTCCAAAAGAAAGCAAACCTGGCTAGATGCTGCACCCCAAGAACCCCAAATCACTTAGAAAAGAGGGTCGAGCATCAACCACAATAATAAAATGCACATTTGAAAGTTAAGCGAGGGGCATTGCATGCGGAATGGCTCCTTTATACTGCCAAATGTCCATTTTTTCCTGCTGTTCAAAAATACAGGCTCACAGCTGTGATGGCATAGATCAAAAAAATATGAACTCAAAAGCACATAGAACATTTCCACTGTGCAAAATAATTTCATTTTATACTTTGCTCAGAGTTCACTTACGAGGTTTTACCTGGTGGGGCCCTTTTATTCCATTGCTGCCATTGGTGCAGTGTTCTTTTATTTTACATTTTTCCGTCATTTCTCCAGAGGAATCCATTTTGTAAACATATTGGCAGTCTTCTAAAATGTGATTTACTGTACTACTTTTGCCACTGATCACTGCTCGGTATGAGGGTTATTCCTCCTTCCCCTCCAACATACCCAGCTGTATTTTACTCTGGGATTGCAGGTGTACGTATATCAACAAAGCAAATGTTTTTTAATTTACAGTTGCCTTTTATTCCCAACCCCCTCCCCAAATACAAAAATAGGACGTTCCTTGCTTGGTCATAACTCATACTCATAACACAGTAAAAGAACTAAAAGAAGAAGCATGGCATTCTTTACCACAAAGTTCCATCATCAGCAAAAGACAGACTTGCCTCGTGACCTTTGCAGAAGCCTTTGAAGAAACCAATGAGCATGCAGATGGAGGTGGTCCATGGATTTTATGGGCTGTATCCAAAATGCTCTGTCAGCTACCTCAAGGGTTGTTGCTCTCGCAGAAGGGTGAATTTTCATGCTGTGAAACAGAGGAATCCAATGCAACAGTTGTGCTAGGGGAAACTCACTGTGACGGTCTTGCTTGTGTGGAACTCAAGACAGCTGCTGCCAAGCAGTACTGAACTAGAAGGATCAGTGGTTGGTCATGTCCCTCCTCTATGCCTCTTCTGTTCCTCAGTGAAATACAGATCTCTTGGAGTAGCCTGACCCCACAGGCCTTCAGTACTCTGGTTGAGCAGATAGTTCAGGAGCAGGGAACATTCTTCACCCTGGGGGCTGCATTAGTGCATGGGCAGCCTTCTAGGGGCCACACACAGCAGTTGCCAGAACCAGATGAAAAAGTGTGCAGAGTAACAGATGGATGTACAGTGGGTTGCATTCCTGTGCTTTTCCCTATCAATGGAAGGGAAATACTGTTCTTTAATTCAGTTTATAAATGGGAAACAACAGAGGAGATTGCTCCTCCATATCACTGATGCCCTGCTGGTCGTAGCCTATCAGGACTCTAGATTAGGCAGATCAACCACCTTTGGTCCTCCCACCCCAACTTACTAACTCCCCAATATTACTGTGGCTGTGAATGCACTAGAGAGCAAACATGGAGCCCACCCGATATTGTTGGACTACAATGCCCATCATCCCTAACAACTGGCCATCCTGGCTGGGGCTCCTGGAAGCTGCTGTCCAACAATATAAGGAGGGCACCATGTTGACTACCCCTGCATTCAAAGACCAAGGAGAGATCTCTATGACCTTCAAAATTTAAACTAGGTGCAGAAGATGTCTAAAGGGTAACACCGTGAACCCTAATTCTGTCTTCTCTCCCCACCAATAACTCACTCTATATTTCATTAAACTGAAGGTGGGGGTGGGTCAAAAGAGGCTGGGGATTGTGTTAATGAGCAGTGCTGCATGTCAGTTACATCCTTAGATGAAAGGGTTCCCTGAGCCAGCCAAGGAAAAATCAAGGTTGAAAAAGAAAAGGGATAAAAGTCCCAAGTCTCCTGGGTTTTAACTTCTAGACTGAGAGGTGATTTTTTTTTTCTTCCCCAAGAGAAATGAGAGAGAGAATTAAAATGTCATCTTCATGTGCAAGTTGTGCTTCACTCTGCTTATATTTCATCCATACCTAAAATAACTTGTCGACATCCAGAACCGTAACTCTGAAACAGACTTTTCTCTTGCCAATTGGAGCTCACTCTGTGGTATGTTTACTGCCGCAGTCCCCTTGGGACACATGCAAGACAGCTCTGGGGAGTGGAGAGCTAACTGCTTCTGTCTCGTTAGTATGGTGGTCCCCAAACTGTGCACTGTGAGAGAAGTTCGGCTGGTGTGCCAGGAGGTTCGGCCAGGAGGCTAGAGAGAGAGTCAAGGCTAATCAAACATAAGAACATAGGAAGAGCCTGTTGGATCAGGCCAATGGCCCATCAAGTCCAGCATCCTGTTCTCAAAGTTCCTAACCAGATGCCTATGGGAAGCCCATAAGTAGGACCTAAGCACAAGAGCACTCTCCCCTCCTGTGGTTTTCTGCACCTGGTATGCAGAAAGATACCATTTCTGACCATGGAGGCAGAGCAAAGCCATCATGACTAGCAGCCACTGATAGCTAGAATTTGTCCAATCCTCTTTTAAAGCCATCCAAGTTGGTGGCCATCACTGCCTCCTGTGAGAGTTCCTTAGTTTAACTATGCACTGCATAAAAAAGGATCTGTTCTGCATCTAGTTTTACCGCAACTCTGTAAGTCTGACAGTCCATCTATGTATGCAGGTCTTCCGTTAGTGAACAAAACATGTGTGAGTTACCTCTGGAACTCAGTGGAAACTCAGGGCAGATACTGTTTGCAAATTTTCTGAAAGAACCATATTGGGCAAATAAAAATGGGGCAGTGTCCCTTTGGAACATTACAGTTTCCTCTCTGTTGCACTCAAACGGTTAATGAGACATCAACTTGAGTTTACCAATATTAATCCTAGATTCTGAGGTAGGCGTGCTTTGAACTGTCCAGTGCATTAAGCATGGCAGGCTTCCAAATAAGCCCTCCAAGCTTATGAGCTCTTCTGCCATTTACATATGCAACATAATTCAAGTTACATTAAGAACCGCTTAGCAGAAGAAGGTGAAATTTCAAAATCCCTGTTTCTCTTTCACTCCCTTTCCCCATGGAATGTTAAGTACATTTTTTAAAATAAAGAAAATACATGTTGGGAGGGGGGGATTGATTAAAACCCAGTTAAAGCAATTCATCGCAACGCTCCTTAATTCTCACAGTTGCAACCAGGTACAAAGTATTTATCATGTTACTTAAAAAGGAATAACTGACTAACTCCCTAAAGAGCAGGTTAAGATCCCTGGTAGCATTGGTACTCTGTAAAAGGGGTATGGAACCAATTTTGACTTGGAGGTCTGCATTCCCATGTGGACAACATTCCAACAGCAAATACCACTGTCGAGCGGCATCAGAGTCAAAACTGGGGAGAGCAATAGGGGCGCCCCTTGCCTTTTCATGATAGGCTATATTCGAGTCATGCAGAAGTCAGAGGTTTACAGACACACATTCATCTCCTCAGCTTCCATCCATTGGGGCACATATGATGATGTCATGGGCTGCATGGATGCAAAGGAGTGGGGGGGGGACACCAGCTTCAGAATCCCCAAGGGAAGAAGGCTCAGAGGCAGAGAGTTAGTGGTGGGACCATGATAAGTGGTCAGAGAGAGAAGAGGGAGAAGACCGGAAGGTGGTGTTGGAAGCTGAAGAGGTAACAGGGTTTAGTGAGCAGGAAGAGTCTGTGAGAGAGAGCAGACCAGAAGCAGAAATGGAGCCTGGAGAGAAGGGGGACAAAGAGGCAGAGATGAGTCAGGCCACTGAAGAAACCAGGGCATCTCCTGCTGCTGCTGCTGCTGCTGCTGCTGCTGCTGCTGCAACCAGCTCCCATCCCCACTGGTCTCCCAGAGAGGAGACCACTGGGAGGAGCAAAGTAAGGTGAGGTGTTGGAGTTTGAGATTGCTTGGGAAGGACCCAGGGGAGGAGGAGACTTAGAGAACTTCAGTCCCCACAACTGCCTCACAGGGGCATGATCTACTGGGACGAGTTGCCATGCTCACTAGGCCTGGCCTCCTGAGTCAACCTTGTTTCCTTGAATAAAATGTTAACTTCACTGGCACTGGGTGATTTATTGCTGACCTGCTCCTGACAGATGAGTTTGCTGGAGCCAGCCAATGGCCCACCTGGTCCATCATCCTAGTCTCACAGTGGCCAACCAGATGCCTGTGGGAAACCCACAAGCAGGCCTCAAGCACAAAAGCACTGCTTCCCTCCTGCAGTTTCCGGCAACTGATGGAGCCTCTTGGGAAAGGAGGCCCATTAAGAGATGCTGGGGGTTGAACCTGGAACCTTCTGTATGCAAAGCAGCTGCTCTACTACTGAGCTATGCATAGTCCCTCACCACTTTCACTCAATAAATGTGCTTAGGATTGCAGCCTTCATGTTCCAAAGGAGCACAGAATCCAAACAGGGCTTCAGGTGAATTGAAACGGACACCTCTGGCAGCCCTAAAGTATTATAGGGGAGTTTTATTGTATTAGTCATTTTCCCCCTCCTTGTCATTTTGCATTAGCGTCATATTAGCCTAATGCAAGACTAACATGATACAGAAATGTTAGCATATTACAGATTACTCAAAGTGCCAAGTTTGTACCTGATCATATTATTCTGCGGTATATATTTGCGAGCAAAAGCTTGCAACCGGGAGAGGGGAGACTGACGTGACACCGTTTCATGGATATTCTATAAGGCTTCGTAAAGCGGCATTAACCTCGGCTGCCAACATGTAGCTTGCTAATTGTAAATAAGTTTTGAGGGCACCGAGTCAAAAGTATGGATTTCTTAGAACAAACAAGGTTTTTCCTCTGCAGAGTAAAGCACAGAGCAAGTCTGTGCACAAACAACTGCAGCTTTTATTACAGCACTGAGGGTTCTCAACTCAGAAGGAATGTACTAGTATTCTGTTCAGTATTTAATTTCTTCAGCAAGAAGCAGCAGAAGGAAAAGCCACGCTCTCTGCCCAGGAATCCTAGCTCCCTAATGTCAGGAATGTATAAATGGGTTCTGATTATTTTCTTTTGAAGAGAGACCTCTCTGCACATGCTTGTGTGTATTTTATTTATTGCATAGATACAGGTATGTCCTCCTTCTTCTCTCAGAAGATCATGGTAACATTCTTCATTACTCTTCCCCAACGCATCTGCTATTTTGTCCGCAAAACAACCCTGTGAGGTTGGTCAGGCAGAGAGACAGTGGTTGGCTCAAGGTCACTTAATGAGTTTCATGGCCAACTGGAGATTTGGAGCTGGGTCACACCAGTCCTGGTGTGGCCATTATATCATGCTTATTTCTCTCTTCTTCTTTTCAATGATTGTATCATGGCTCAATCTTGCTGTTTGCAAGTGGTTTCTCCAGAACTATGTAAACCTTTTGTGGAATAAGCATTATTTTTTAGGAAAATGAAGTTGTAATGTTATTCTTAAATAAACCACGAGTGAAGGCCTGGCCAGGGCGAAGGCCTCTTATATACCTGCTCGGATTGACAAGGCATTGACAGGTGATCTGGTCTGCAGCCACAGTGTGGGAATAAAGGATGAGATTGCCCAACAGATACCAGACACTCTACTATTCAAATTAGGTCCCAGTGTTTTTGTTACAATCCCCTTCTCAATTAAGTAATCAGTTTTAATCTAGAATTTAAATTCTCAAAACTTTCTTATTTGTTAAATTGAGCAAGTCAACTACTGCTCTCACTTCATTACAAACAGTATTTCTACCTGCAACACACTTGAGCAAACCTGTGCCTCTTCCTTTCACAGATATTTTGTTGCCATTTGCAACTGTAGCTGCCTCTGATTAGTTATCATTTAACTCTTGGGGAAAATAATTAGCATCACACGTCATGTGATGGAAGTTGCCGAACCAATTAACCAACTAGAAGGATTACTGTTAATAGCACCAGTTTTCCTATAACTGGATATTGCTGGATAGTTTTGATGAACTGCAAAAGCATTTTTAGTTTGCTTTCTGTTGCCACCCTGGAACTTTTCTTTATTAGTGCCACTTTGTTTTGTACGATTCCTTGCAAATGAAGGAAAACAACTTTTCTGCTTGTATATATTGATAATATAATTTTGGTTACTGAGAACAAACAAGATTGTACAAAAACAAGATTGGGTGCAGGTCAGGCCAGGACATAGGCATCCTGACTGTGACAAAGGTGACCTGTGTGCTTGCTTGCTTGAATAACAGCTGTTGGGAACTTCAAGGTCCCTGCTCTTCCCTTCTTATGGTCTTTGTACTGGACCTGGAGACTCCAATAGAGAGCATTCCATGCCAAGAAGGAAGACAAGTGGGCACCCTATCAAATGACAGGGCAGGAGCTACACAGAGCAGGGCCTTTTCACTGGTGGTGCCCATTGTATGCCTCGCTCTTCCCAGACCTGTTCTCTTTTGGCCTGTATTTTGGAGCTTTATAATTTAGGAAGACTTTAGAAGAACTGGTTGACAAGTCTTATCAATTGCTGACGTATGAGCGGATTTTATTTGCTGCTATTCTGGGCTTCTGCTGCACCAGGGTTTACACCAGCGTAAAAGAGTTGGCCAGGATGCCAGAAGAGATAATTTATAAGCTTCCTCCATTATCTGCACAGCAGGGGGTGTTCAGTCAACAGTGCAAAGGCTGAGCTGAAGCATTACCTGCTGGTTACCTGCTTTCAGCAACAGGGGTCGCTGTTTGGTAGTACCCAATTGGTTAGCTGTCAGATTCTAGAGCTCCCTATTGGTGGCTCTTAGGTAATTCACAAAATACAGAGTCCACTCATAAAACAGTGTTCATTCATAAAGCAGTAATATAAATCTCCATTGCTACATATTGGGTGTATATTTCAGCAGTTGAACATACAGGTTTATGACCATGCTGTAGTGTAGTGCTTATGCGACTGTGAATAAAAGGTGGCTGGGCTCATTGTCTCGCGGTTTGAGTGGTGGGGAGAGGTGACAAAACTGATTTCCAATAAGTGCCCCCCCTTTATTTCCATAAGAAGTCCTTGAGCCTGTATTCTGAATAGTGACACCAGGGACCTAGAAGGTACAGGGCTTGTCAGTCCAACCCCTGCACAGTCTCATCAGGGCTGACCTTAAGGCAATTGGAGCAATTTGGCCAAATGGGGCTCCACATGCCGCTCCTAAGGGGGGCCCCACACCAGGGCAATCTAGATGGATTTTATTTATATCTATAATATTTTGCAGACTTTGGCTGTGAACTGGGGCCCTACCAAAAAAAAATTAAAGTTGTGCCCCACTGCTTCAGATTGGACCCCACTGGCTAGCCCTGTCTCATAGTCTCATAGTTGCCGGGCCTGAGTTGCCCTGCCCTTGCATGAAGTCTTGGGTTTGCAATTTTGGGAAAGGGGAGACTGTGGCACTGGGGAGTGGGCAGGCTGGGGAGGCCCCCTAGATTTAGATGCCCGAGTTGCTCTGCCCTTGCATGAAGTCTTGGGTTTTCAATTTTGTGAGAGGGGAGGTTGCCTGCTGGGGAGAGGGCAGGCTGGCAAGGCCCCCTAGATTTAGAGGTCCTAGGCTTCAGCCTACTTAGCCGATACATAAATCCAGCACTGGGCGAGGGCATTCTCTGTGGCAGCTCCTGGGTTGTGGAATTCCTTCCCAACAGAGGTGAGTCTGCCACCTTCCTTATACAGCTTTTGTCATATGCTGCAGATGCACCTCTCTGTCCTGGTTGTGAGGGACCTTCTGGTGAGGGACAGGTAATAAATGTAATCATCATCACCTTCACATCTCTAGTCCAACGTTTCTCCACAGAGCTCAACGTGGGTAGTTGTTTATAGAAGAATGGTAGGATGAAGGACAGTGAGTGGCCGGAGGTCACTCACTGAGCTTTATGGATGAGTAGAGATTTGAACCCTGGTCTCCTAGGTCTTAGTCCCAAACTCTAACCACTACACCACAAAGTCTCAGTTAAAATTCATTTATTCACTGTGCCATTGAGTAGGTGAATTGTTTCTTTTAATACTTCTTATGCAGCCTTTTCTTGGGTTATTTAAATGAACTTGTTGTTTATTTATTAAAAAGGTTCATACCCCACCTTTCTGTTTGTTTGTAAAACCTCGGTGCCTCTTGCAATACGATTAAAACATCAGGAAAAATAATAATGAGAACAAATTCAATAGACAAAAGCAAGTGAGAAGAGACAGTGAATAAAAATCAGAAGCTAATATTCTAGGAAGACTGAAACCATCAACAAGTCGGCTGAAAAGAGGAAAGCTCTTCACACAGCAAAAGAAGGCCATCAAGCAAGGGGCAATGCAAGCTTCTCCAGGTAAGGAGAACCAAAGCCCAGCACAGCCACAGAGAGGAACCTTTCTCCCAAATCCAAACCAATCACAATTTCCTTGGGCGTGGGAAGTGAGGGAGAACTTCTCCAGAGGATCTTATGTATCATTATAAGATCGGGCTTGGACAGCAGAGGGTTAATGGACCTGAAACAGATGGGACAGATTTGACTCAACATATTCTTTGTTAGGTAAAATATAGGCAATATGTTGTCATGGAAACTAAAATTATTAGCCATCAGCAGGTGATATGTTGCCATGGGAGCTAAGAGGGCCCAAGAAGGCTAGGTGATGGTTGGAGAAGATGACTCTGGAAAATTCCCCCCTCTAGCCAGAGGGAGGGGGCAAAGCGTCACTCTGTGATGGCGGGGGGGGGTGGGACAATAGTCTGCAGTCAGACTTGAAGCAAGTCACAGAAAGCTGGAATTGGGGGGCATTGTAAATTGACAGTCATATCGGCTAGCTGGCTCCTTCGAATCTGATGTCAGTGCAACAGATTGTGGCTATCTGTGCTTCCACCTACACTCAACCTGAACACTTGCAAATAAACGCAAGTATTACAAAATGCCAAGAAGGAAAAAACATGGGAAGATACTGGAACCTCTCACTACATAGAGAATTGGGATGAGCATAACAACATGTTGCTCTCTGCATACTATTATATCTTGTTTTACTGAATATTTTAAGCAGTGTTGAGCATCACTATTAAAAAAAAGGAATAAGATGCTTTAAATATTGGGAGCATGTAACTTCTTGGTTTGTTTCTAACGACAATTCATAGTTCTGAGCCAGGTAACCCGAAAGGCCATCCTCTCCGAAATGGAATCCTCTCCAGTGCCAGCGGGCAAACTCTGACAAACTACAGAACACCCAACAGCTGCATCACCATGCAATAACCACCAGTGCTATTGCTGTTGAGTACATGGCTTAGGGCCATAGCATCCCAAGAGTCACCTTCTGCCACAAGGATCTGCCCAAGAAATATGATCCACCTCGGAGGCCCTTTTCCAAGACCCCCTTCTGTTAGATACAGAGCAACTGAATGTCTAT